TGCGTAACTGATGCTTGGTGTGACGCGATTTTTTTTTTCTTTTTTTCTTCTCTCTTTTTTCTTTTTTTTTTTTTTTTTTTTTCTTTCAAACAACAAGACACGCTGTACATTTGACATAGCTAGTTATTAGAATTAGTGGCACATCCACGCTGTAGACTGTACATCTGGCTGAGCATGAAACGAAACGCAGAGAGAATCGGTTCATCTACTGAAAGGAAAAAAAAAAAAAAAAAAAAAAGAAGAAATTGTATTGATTTGACACGTATTGTACGATATACGTACGTAGATATACAACCTTGCGTGGCTCGATCGAGCCCGTGACCCGTAGGTATGATGATATTTCTCTCGCTTTGTCTCTGATATTGTTTCGCTCTCGTTGTACGATGGAGAAGAGTATGAGCTTTCCTTTTTTCTTTTTTTTTTTTTTTCTTATTAATCAACACGCAGTCATACGTTCGATTTCGGATCGCTTGCGATTAACCCTTTCGTTACGAGCGCCATACATGTATATATATATATATATATCTCGATTGACGTATCACATATTAAAAATACACTGTGTACGTACATAAACACACTTTCTTTATTTTTCTCTACTCGACAGTGGGGTATTTATGCGAAAAGAGATTATTACGATGAAAAAAAGGAATCTTTCGGCCAAAGTATAAACTATAGGTTAATTTCTTAAAAGTTTGAGACTAGATTTTTGTTGAAAAAAATTACAATTCCAGGCCAGGCGGAGTCCAACCCGGAAAAATTAATAATTAAATAAGAATTCTATTACTGTTGAATAATTATAACCATGAACGTTCATAATGTCCCCTTTCGAGAAGTACTTACATTTGCGAGCAGAGTTGTTTTCAATATAAATCAATATAAATATATTTTTCCAATCAGTGCATCGTTCCGCTGTAAAAGTTGTTTCATCCTCGTAAATATGTATGTACGGCCCCAAATTTTTGTTGGCCAACGAGGCCCAGAAGATCCAGAAGGTTGGACGCCATTGTCAGAATATTATACCAGGAAATTCGAAAGAAGATTCTGTTTCAAAACGAGATTTGACGATTCCTTTTGAAACAGAATCTTCTCTCAGTTCAAAATTCAGTGGCGGACTGATCGTAGCGAAAGGGTTAAAGGACGACGTTATCGTATACACCATTGGCGAACGGTGGGCGGCCGATTTGTCCGTTCGCGCCCCCGATATCTCCGAATATTTCTCACGCCTGTACGCGCAAGCTTGTTCATCTCGATCAAAGCCTGTTATCACGCTTATACTTACCTGTGCTTGCCGTCTCTCGAACGACCGATTACCGACCAGAAGCAGAAATTGAACGAAGCTGGCCGAACGCCGACGAAATTTCCTCTCCTCGAGGCGATCGGCATCGAAGTGTTACGTTCACGCTCCGATTCTCACTGTTGCTCGATCGGCATCAGCATTGATCTCTAGTTAGAAACGAGCAAACGAGGCGGTTCTCGACGATTTTTGCGATTTTGTCTCTCGAACGACGACGAAGGCCTAGACTCTATTCCTCCTCGTTGTTCGAACGACGCGCAATTCGTGATCGTCGTCGACGTGTCGGCCGCCTCCGTCTCCTTGTACGCGAAACGAAGCGAAACGAAACGAAAGAGAAAAGAAAAAAAGAAAAAAAGAAAAAAAGAGAAATAGAGTCACGGGGGCGGAAAAAAAAAATGGAGAGCGATAGAAAAAATTGGTCGAAGGATGGATCGTTGTTTGAACGAAAGGTCGTAAGAATATAAGTTTCTTCTACGGAGACCCTGTCGCAGGGTAAAAAGAAGCGAGAGGGCGGTCCACCGACCGGAGCTACGACAGGACCGAACGAGATCGTAACCTGCACCAATTGCGGACCCAATCCTTGCACGCACACCACCACCAACGGATGCACAGCCGAGGTATGTTAATTAAACTGTACTATTATGCTGTAGTAAGTAATACTAACTTGTGGGACCCACTTCGGGGGCTGATTGTACGGCTAAAAATAATGGAAAATAAATATATGTCCTATCTTGCTTCGTTTATGAGATATAATGAATTTTATAAACAGAGCAAACTCTAGTAAGCTAGTTTCACCAGGGATGGTATATTCAATT